GCTAGGCATCAGAGCCACCTCTCCAGTTCGTCACCACTCGGTTAGGCATCAGAGCCACATCTCCAGCTCGTCACCATTCAGTTTGGCATCAAAGCCACTTCTCCAGTTTGTCACCATTCAGCTAGGCATCAGAGCCACCTCTCCAGCTCGCCACCACTCAGTTAGGCATCAAAGCCAGCTCTCCAGCTCGTCACCATTCAACTAGGCATCAAAGCCACCTTTCCAGCTTGTCACCATTTAGCTAGACATCAGAGCCACCTTTCCAGCTTGTTACCACTCAATTAGGCCTCAAAGCCACCTCTCCATCTCGTCACCACTCAGTTAGGCATCAAAGCCACTTTTCCAGCTCGTCCCCATTCAGCTAGGCATCAGAGCCACTTCTCCAGCTTGTCACCATTCTACTAGGCATCCAAGCCACCTTCAGGTAGGAACCATTCAGCTAGGCGTCCAAGCCACCTTCCAGGTAGGGATTATTCAGCCAAGCATCTGAGTCACTAGCCAGCCGGGAGCTGCCAAAATGTGCATCATCAAAACCTTTATTAGGAATTTTTTCTTTTGAAAGTGCTAGGATGAACCCGGAATTCGAGCAACTGTTCCTAATGATTTGAGAAAAAATCAAATCCTATTTTATCTCTCCTAGACAATTTGAAGATAGAATGATTTGAGAGGGGAACTCTTCTGGAATGTTCACTATTAAATCATCCTATTTGCTGAAATGTTCTTCAATCTTTGTGGGAAATAACACTACAAATTGGTTCAACATCATTTGAAACATCAAATTCCCTCCAAAGATGGAAAACTTTTCTTTTCCTTCTCTTTCAAAATAAGCTTCCTACTAAGATGCTTTTGAGGAAATGAGGTTTTGATATTAATGGATCTTGTAGCTTTTGCGATGAGGATGAAGACTTGGATTATATTTTTAAGTTTTGCCCTTTGTCCTACCAAATTTGGTATATTCTCTGTGATCCTTTAGTGGGTCCGTCGAATAGTGACCAATCATTTATTGATTGGTGGAGCAGACTGACAAAAAATAATAAAAAACTACTTATTAAAGAAAAATAACTTTTATTTTGTGGGCTATTTGGAAAAATTAAAACTATAAAGTTTTTAATAACTATGTGAGACCCCCCCAAGTAATCCTTGACCGAGCCCTTCATTCTTGTATGGAATACCTGGAATTAGAGAAGGTTGCAAACTTAAATTCCCTTCACAAGATTTGGAAGCTCATCATGTGGTCTGCTTTATCTCATGATTGCATTAAAATCAATTTTGATGTGTCTCGTTACTTAGATGGTCCTTGTACTGCTACGTGTATTGCCCGTAATCATCTTAGTCGTGTCCTGGATGCCAAAGCTATCAAGATTGGTTTTTGTACAATTAATCAAGCTGAAGTGTGGGCTGCATGGGAGGCCATTAAGATGGCCTCAAATTTCCATCAATTCCCGATCATTATCGTAGGTGACACAAAGTTGGTGATTTCATGCCTCAACCAGAAAACAAAACCCTCTTGGAAGATGATGAACATTATTGGGAGCTACTTGAGGATGAAGAATACATTTTCTAGAAGACTTTTCTTCCGGCATGTCTACAGATAAGTGAACTAGGCTATAGATTGGATGGCGCGCAAAACCTAGATAACTACTTTGGGGTTTGTATCTTTTAACTTTTCTTCCCTTCCTCCTTCCCTTTTCTCTATTTGTTTAGCTGACTTCTGGGGGCGCACTACGGGGGCGCACTACCCCCGTTTGTTGTAGTGCCCTTTGGGTCTTATTAAAAAAAAAAAGGAGGTACTTAAGATTCAAGCTCTAGACCTTTATTGCAGGAAAGATGGTAGATTGATCTCACCATAAAAACACCATTTAAAAAAGAAATAAAGGAAGGCATCCACAATTTTAATTTGGTCATGTCCCATTCTCTAGATGGATTAAAAAGATCTTGAACCAAAACCCAGTCACACAATTGGGATTTCTCCATGGAAACCTTGGAGTTTGTGATAGAAGGTATCGAGAAATGCCTCCAAATATTGATTTACCCTTCCCTATTTTCTAAAAGACACATTTTTTGCAATAATTTCTTGCCTTTTGGAAGATTTCTCCATCCCCATGAGGCATCATGAGGACACCTGGAGTCAAGGAAAGACTAGCCAGGAAATACTTGACCTTCATGACTTGAGTGAAGAGAAAATTCAGGTTTTCAAGTAATCTCATCCCTTGCTTAAGAAGGAAAGCTAGCTAAGTTCATACACCTCGTGAGGTTGGGTTTGTGCATACTTGATCAATGTTATGTTGGGTTTTGGAATTGAATTACAACCAATTGGCATCATTGATGACCTAGCCACATGACACTCCCTCCATTTAAGAGGCACAAGATCAAACCCATGGAACCACAATGAACAACGTAATGTGTAATATGCAATACCCCACCCCGACCAACTAATGAGACTACACAATGAGGTATAGCCCATTCGTCAAGCTGATATTGTCATACCCTCACCCTTCCTTTTTCTTTCTTTATTTCTTTCTTCTTCCTCCTCATTTTTTTTAGGCTATATGGGGCTACAACAAAAGGGATGTAATCCATCCCCAAACTCATAACCCCTTAACCTTGGTGCAGGTGAGATTTGATTGCAAGTTTTTGCTACAACTAGTAGGATGAGATACAACCAGCCAGTTGGCACCTTCAATCCATACCCCTAACCTGGGTGAAGGTGGGATTCAATATCAAGTCTCTACTACAACTAGCTAGGTACCTTATCAACTAAGCCCAATTACACCTTATGCCAAATATTATCACATGGTTTTAAATTCCAAAATTGAGTGGATCACAAAATTGATTTACAGTCGAACAATCCTTAATGTTTGTTGGTAAAATAACTTATATCATAAACTAGAAGAAAATCTCAAGCAACCAGATAGATGATCCATATGGAGTCCTTCTTGTTAGCCCTACCAACATCTAACAACCATTGGGGAGACCCCTCATTGAGCTACCTATCGAAGGGCCAAAATGATTTTGTTTTGATATAAAGCTATGTTTGATTTAAAGGAAAAGGTAGGGAAACCTATACAATATATGTAAAGGATTCCTTATCTTTCCCTTCCTTTACCTATTTTTTCATTCAAACCAAATGCAACTTAATAGTTGACGTTGTTTGTTGAACGAGGATTCGAGGAACTTAGACAAAAATAATATAGAAGAAAGCTTGCACCATCGAGGGGTGGAGCTAAGGGAGACCCAAGGGATCCATGGCCCCCTCCCCCTATGGCTGAGAAATCCCCACTTACATTATATTATTCCATGTATATTTCCCCCTCCCCCACTTACAGGTGCAAGTCAGGTTGGTCTAAGTTAACAATTTATACTGTTTTGAGCTCGGGCTTTGGGTTTATACAATTGAAATTTTGACAAAATTCCAACCCTAATTTGTAAAAGTTGCACCCCTACCCCCACTTACCACCCCAATGGTTGGACCCCTTAATGACCCATATCCACTTCCTGGCTCCACCCCTGGCACAATCTACATGATATTTGCTATGATTGGATATATAGAGAGGCAATAAGTGTTTTTGCCAACTGATGCCAAGCTAGTTTGCCACTGCCCTTAAAATTAAACAAGCTTGATTGGAATAATGAGGTTCATACCAATCTCAAGACTTCAACTTTGTGCTATCTATACTACTTGAACTTATAAACCAATTTAGTTTAAAATTGTAATTGAAAGATGAAAAAACTTATGATTTTAAGTTAGAAGACAACACCATTGAAGAAGTTAGAATGGAATGGGACACAAAAATTAATTAAGAGAGAGAACTTTATATTTGATTTATACCAGGGTACCTAACCTAGGAACGTGGAGGCTGAAAATTGAAAAATGGGCATGACATTACATGGAGCAGGATGGTAGATAAGGATTTGTGTAACCCACAACATGGGTTTTTTTTTGGTATTTGGTGATAACTTTCCCTTGACCCCCTCTTTTCCCCAAATGCTTAGTTTGGTAGGAGTACAAATGCAAATATGTAGAATGCAAAACCTTATATTTTGTATGTATTTACACCGTATATATTTCCAAACTAAGCCAAAGTGCTGGTTGCAGGGTTTTAATTCTACGTAAAAGTTGAAACAAACCAACTAACACATCAACAAGCCAACCCTCAGTTGGTTTAACCCACTACATGAGGTTGGGATAAGGCTTTATTGTATCCGGTTGGGTTGATAACCCACCAAGGCTCAAGCCCAGCTAATTCGATTGGAATCAGGGATTAGCTCGAGTTGGCTATGACTCCGTCAGGGACAAACTACTGGGGTTGTCCGTTTGGCCCTAAACAAGGCCCAGCCTGGGCATTAGTATCACACCCAGATCCAGATCAGTATATGATGTATCATGTGGCAAAATAAATCCCCTACCCCTACAAGAACCAAGGAAACTGGACCGATCGATTCTCCATGTTAGGTGTATCCTACGTTGATGATGAGTTGACGTGGTTATTAACTTGTTATGATCGGTCCATTATTACGAGTAGAATTATAGACGACTTGAAAAGACTCAAGTTGTTGACCGTTGATCAAGCCGAACTAGTTAGGACTGATTCGCGGAGGCGCCTTTTCTCTGTTTGGAGGGAGTCTGGGCGCTGCAGGAGCGGGACTACTCCAGTCTCCAGCCGTCGTTTTCTGTGTTTGAGCAAATGGGGCTAATGGGTAACGAGCCACAGACGTCAGACGTGGGAATGGGACATTCGAGGGTTGGCTCTGGAATTGGCCAACAAAAGAAAAGTCAAAACTCAAAACGACAACTCTTCTCTTCGTAAACGATGACACTTCTGTCGAGACCGGATCTGCTCCTCACACCGACCTGCACATTTTACCATGCATTAGGAATATTTATCGTACTTATAAGTTTTTATTTACGGTCGATGTTCCAAATGCACGGTGGATGGCGCCCATGTGTGAGGAGCAGGTCCCGTTCCACTTCTGTTATTATTTTGTGTCAAAACGAAGTCGAAGAATATGGCCGTTTCGTTTTAATGGTAAAAACTGAAAACGCCGCCGAATGTGATTAGAGGAGGGAACAACCGATTGAATAAAAAGCGGGAGACTTGGGAGTTGGAGTTGGGATGTGATAAATCCAGTGTTCTTGCAACTTCGTTGCTGCTTCGCTTATTGGCAGTCTGCAGTCAGCAGGCGTTCAGACTCTTTTGCTATTAGGGTTTAAAGAGCTGCATGCACTAGTTAATCCCTTCATTTGATAAAAAAGTAGAGAAAACCGTAGTTTCGAGAAACGCCATGGAAGAGGTCAGGTCCAGCACGGCGTGGGTCGTTAGTCATTCCTTTCATGTAGTTGTCGATTCATCAGGTTCTCTTTCTCCCTATCTTTCGACCAAGTGTTATTCAAGTATTTTGCATGGGCGTCTGCTGCATTTGTTAATGCTTTTTATTAACCAATCTAACTTTTTTTGCACTTGGCACCTCCTGTCATTTAAGCAGGACTCGAGAAAGCAGTCGACACAATTGAAGGTTCGGTTCCCAAGGTTGAATGGGATTTCGAGGGGATTCACTATTTTGATAATGGCCCGCTCACTGTTCAATACCTATTTGTTCTGGATGCACTCAACTTTTGTTTTTGGCCGGGTTTGTGTTGTTTCTTACTTTAGATTGTCAGAGTAAGATTGATAATGCTATAACCATTGCATGGTGTGACTTAAATGCTGTTGTCTTTAGGTTCCGTTCGTTTGCACTCCAATTTCATTTGCACAAGTACAAATGCATGGAAGAGTGCAGATTCTGTTTTACTTTTGCTTTACCTTGCTTCACGTTTTGCTTTACTTCATCTACATTGCAAACAAACAAAACAAAAGTAAACCAGATTTTGCAGTTCTAATGAAATTGCACTGCGAACAAGCTAAGTATTAGAATCACAGTTCCATGCTTGTTGGTTATCTATGGATTGGTTTAATTTAATGCCATGCCATGTGTTAAAATATGTTGATTGGTGTGTTAGCTCTGGTTGGTTTAATATATGTATATTTTGGCCACTCTATTATCTCTATTTGTCCAACAAAAAAAAAACGTGTTTGAAGATTAAGTTGAATTTGCAAGGTAGAGCATCAATTTGATGGACAGTGAGTTTGTTATTTGTTCTGACACAGTATAGTTTCATGACAATAAATTTATAGCATAGAAAATTATTAAAAGACCTCATATTCTATAATACTATAAAAAAGTTATTAAGAGCCATATATACATGTTTTTCTTGACAGACATCTGAACTTAACAAAACCTATATTCCAACCAGTTGGAATTGGTCAGATGGATCTTCATTATTCCACTCTTTCAAGGGCATGTCCAGACACTTCACCCCTCCCCCTCTTCCTAATAAGAGAGTTATGGATAAGTACATACGCTCATACATGTAAATGGTCTGTTGCAAATCAATGTTCCCAGGTATATCATTAATATGTATCATGAAGGTGCTTTGCTATGCTATTATAATTGAATTTGGTCTGGTGAAGGGATGTCTAATTTCCTTCTCTCTTTTTTTTTTTTTTTCATCTGGGTTGTGTTGAAATACCATCTCTATTTGTCATTCCTTATTTACACATGCATGGCTCTAAAAATTTTTATTATTGGACTGAGAGGTATTAATTATCTTCTGATGTTTAATCTTTCTCTCGCTCATCCACTTCCTCCTCCTGAAGATCTTCTAATCTCTTCTCTAATCTATGGACCAGAACTCAGGACTGAGTTCCTTACTCTGCATATTTCCACCGAAAAAAAGGAAAGGCAAAAGAAATGTTAAAAAGGGAAGGGGAAGAAGCAAGAATCACTAGGATCTATACTTTGTCAAAATGCTGTCAATGTCATCAATATTTGGCTATTCATCAATTTTGCATAGTCATGATTTTTTAAGTATTTAAGATAGGGGTAGATTAAAATCACAATCAAGGAAAGTAATTGATTTTTCATCATCTTTGGAACCTCATTATTTTTTTTTGATCAATGGAACCTCATTATTTTTAATTTGGGGTTTCAAACTACTTGTGCCTGGATTGATTCCTGTACATCAGGACTGCCTTGATATGTTCTTCACGACTTCACCATTGGATTGACATGCTTTTGTGCACTTAAGAATTTATCCCTTGAAAGCTTTCTGTTACTCTTTTTTGAAGAAAATAATTGATAATTTGTTAAGGAGATAGCAAAAAGAATTACATGAGGTACACGTTGTACAAAATATACTAATGGAGCCCTATTCTCAGACAAAAATTGGGGAAGGACATAACTGTCTCTGCAGAGTAGTACCCATCCAACACTCCTCATGGCTAGATCATCACTCACGACATTTGGTTGTCTTGAAATCCACATTAAAGGCAAGAGGAAGGAGCTTAATCTCATTAAGGAAGTGTGCTGATTTCTTTGGGCTTGGGCTTCTCTATTTAAGCCCATCTGATTGCATTAATTCAGTCACCGAAAACTGGAAGCTTTGGAGTCTGCATTCTTCTTTGTATCCTTTCCATTGATTTTCAAGATGTCATGATGGCAATAAAGATAAGAGACCATGTGAATATGCATTTTTTTTTGCATTGTTTTTCATTGATTTTCAAGATATCACAATGTGAATTTAGAAAAGGGATATTTGAAGCCTGAGCTTGTGGTTGCCTTGAAACTCCTTTTGGTTAAGATTCAATGGGCAACAGATTAGTCGAAAGCTCTCAATTGAAGATTTTGGTATTCTTTTTATTCCCATGCTCTACATAATAGAAGCATGGGTGCAGTGCCACATAACCTTCATTCTCTTAGTTGGGAGGAGACAGAAACTAGGATGAAAGAGCTCAATAACCTCACCATGGAGTTGCCAACAGGGGAGCCAAAAGGGTACAAAGTGGTTCTAAATCTTTGTTGCAAGATTGCAAATAAGAAAGTCATTATTGATAGTCTCTCTGCTTTCTGTGCATTATTGAATGTCTCAGCTTGATGTAAGATGATCAAAAGGATTATATAGCTTTTTTATTTGACGGAGTATAATAAGCTTCAGGAATTGTTAGAATTACTCATTGATTGGAGGTTCATAATGATGGTTTTGTTGGAAGGAGCTAGTTGTCATTGTCACTTCTATCCACTTTGTGCTTTTTGACAACAGGCATTTCTAATTTCCTGTTGTTTAATACTTAACAGACAAAGATCTGAGTTATGACAATTTGGCCTTGGGGCTAAGGGAAGCTATACAAAATGATAAATCTGTGTTAGATGCTGATCGTCTTCAGAAGTACACTGGTATTTTGGTCTCTACTTGAACCTTAATTTCCTATTGCAATGCTACAAACATGTTTTCATGTTTTTTGTCTGATCATAAATTGGTTTTACATGAGGCATGTCTAACAATTTCTTTTCTAATCAAAATTTGTCAGGTCCTCAACTACGTGAACTATTGAAATGGCCTCGGCCACTTCCATTGGAGGATGAACGTATTCGCTTACTACATGAAGTACTTCTATCTTAACTTTCTAGACATGTTTAATCCCTACTCTTATAATTTTTCTTATGTTGCATTTTAGAGAGAAACCTGGAAACTAGGGATATTTGCCCATGGGACCCACAACCCAGCCACTCCCTAGAGAATATTCAAATAAAATATATTATATTAATTAAAAAAAGTATATGGTCCTCTGTACAATGAGAATCTGTACATGTATAAGCTATGTAAGGACCTCAAGAAAGTCCACCCACAAAAAGGAAACAGAAAAAGTATAATCTTTTAAATATATTATGAATAGACAACCAATTTCTAAGTTTTCCAATCACTAGATTGATCTCCTCTTCTTCAAGTGTAGATTTCTGCTAAAAAGTAATATTTCCAATCACTAGTTTTCAGCCATCCCACCATTATCTTCGAATCACCTTCAATGATCAGCCCACCCACTCGGCTACTCCCAATTTCTTGGCTTTCTCAACCCCAGAGATTGCTGCTAGGAATTCTGCTATTACAGAATCACCTTGCTCAATTGGGCCTGAAAACAAATCACATATAGCACCACCACCATCTCTAAGCACCCCTCGGTCCCCTCCAATTCCTGAGGGACCCAGATTACCCACACTGCTGCCATCAAAAAATTCTATTGTTTCTCTCATACCATACAGCCCACAGAATTGCCAAAGAGATGGTTGACCAGTGTACTTTCCCTCAGTCATTCCCGAGATCTGCCACTCTTCCAAGAGTGCTTTAACGGAACCCGGAAGGCACAAGTTTAGATTTAATGCCTTCATGAGGTGATTCCAAACAGCTGCACTGAAATTACAATGCAAAAACAGGTGGTTTGAGGTCTTAACTTCTAGATTACATTAGGAGAACATCAGGTCTGAAATGTTGAAACTCCTCTTCAGTAGCATTTCTAAAGCAAGGCATTTCTCCAAGGTTTTTACCCATAAAAAGAACTTAATTTTTGATGGAGCTGCAGTTGAATTGGGATCTGCTTCTCACACCGACCTCACAGCCACATCCTACCATGTATTGGGAACATCTCCCCATGAATAATAAATACAAGTACAGGAGATGTTCCCATTGTGCAGTCAGGACATGCTGTGAGGAGCAGATCTGGACTCACTACAGTCTCCCAAATAGCTTTGCTTGGAAACTGTTCCCAGGGGTCACCAACTACACACTTATAGAAAGATTTGACAGTAAAGTTACCTGAGTGATTCCACTTCCAGCAACTTGCATTCCTGAGACTGCAAATTTAATTGTTGATTCTGAAGCATAACCAGGAGATCAGCTACCATTTTCAAGTTCCCAGACATTGTAGCTCCTTGTGAAGGAATACCTCTGAATAATTCTGTTACCATCCAACACATATTACTCAGAAACTAGGGCCATCTTGTTTTCTGCCACATTGTCAAGGGCTGAATATAATGTCCTTTAGTGCTCTATCTTCCAGACCATGGATCTAATCAGAACTTCAACTTCCTTTCACCCCCAGTTTTATAATTTATACCTCTGCTGAACCGTGAAATCTTTGGATATTCAAACATATATGGAGTGGTGGCTTTGATCTCAAGAGGGAATCATCAATTTGAGGAATAATTAACTTCTCTGTGTTATTATGATCTCAGTGGCAGAACCATATCTTCTCCCAGATAACTATGTTCAATGATTTGTCATGTAAACTCCATAAAGTTGTCTTCAGTCTTAACTAAGTTGATTTTTCTTTATTCTATTGGTTTAAAAAAATGTGTTTAGGATAGCTGACCCATCATTAATTATATAAGGTCCAATATTGTAATCAGTGAGATAAATTTCAATGGACCACTAATTTGGTTATGTGAACTCTCCCCTCTTCTTTCTTCTATTACTCTCACTTCCTTATTGAAACCTTTTTCTGTTGCATACCGCTATGTTTTGTTTTTCTTTTTTTTTTTTTTTCTATCTATAATATCTATCTCAACAGCCCACTGTTTTCCTTTCACTTCTTGCAAAATCTGATATCTTCTTGTTTCAGTACCAGTGTCCAGTTCCTTCAATTCCTAATTTCAGCTAATCATGAACCTAATTTCTAGGACACTCTTCTTATACTTTATGTTCTTCCAAGCCTTTTCTTTGTGAGGGTTTCTTTTGATTTTCTTGGTGTTTTGTGTATCTTTTTTTCATTCCTTTTTTGCTTGGATTTGTTTCCATTTTTTTGTCAGTAATGATGCTTGAAATTTTATTAATATCAAGGTAAAAACTCATTTCCCATTCCCATGGCTGCCTTCATTTGCTATATATGTGTTTCCACTTTTGTTAAAAGTTAACCCTGGGCCTGGAGGCCCCCAACCATCTCATATTTTGCAACTCCTACTCTTCCCAATAGGTTAGCTTGGTTGTTGGCTGTCTTAGGGGTTCAGTTGAATGAGCAATTTGTATTTGTTGCCAATGCCTTTTATCTCTTATATGTCTAAGAGTCCAATGGCCTGAAGTTGTAGAAGACAACCAGGAAATTAGCACTTGACAGTCACCTATAATTAGATTTGTTTCCATGATTTGCTACTAACTAGCATATGACTATGATACCTGGATACCTGCACAAGGGTAGCTTATTGTGTTGGTACTTAAATTTTTAGTGTAAATTTCATATCTCACGCTTTGTCCAACCATGTCCTTGTCATGTCTGGGTAGGGGTGTCAATTGGACTGGATTTGGTCCAATCCGATCCAGTCCAATGTGAGTCCATTATAAATGGACCAGGCCCAATCCAATCCAATGAATGTTCTGGACCAATTTGGACCGGTCCAATTCAACGTATGGACCGTCCAACCTGTTCAAATTTATTTTGATTTAGATTGGTTTCAACCCATACCTGGTCCATTGACACATATATATTCTTATCTTATATCAATGGACCAGATATTGGCTTAATCCAACCCAATCCAATACTAAATTTGTTACGGACAGACCAAGTCCAATCCAATCTAATAAATATTTTGGACCGGGTTGGTCCAATCCAATATATCTTGTTGCTCCGTTCAATCCGTCCAAATTGATTTTGGACTGGACGGGGTCCAATCCAAAATCGGTCCATTGACACCCTTATGTCTGGGTGACATAGGCATATTAGTCATTTTATCTTTTCCATGAACATTTACTTCTATGGTGTTGATGTTTATAGTTTCACTCCATTTAGGTTGGAAAGGAGCTGGAGAAGAATTTTGGGGGAAAAGCAGTAAATCTTGTCAGCTCTTGTGGGAAATCTGCTGTAGCGCTTGTTGCCCTTGTAACACGTCATTTTCCTGGTATGCCATTGTCTATGTATTTCAGTATATTTTTAGTTACAATTGTTTCCTAAGATATTTCTTCTGTTTTGTTTACTTCTTTGTTTGATGCTTTATTGTTTGTTTTTGTAGTTCATTGTATTGGGTATATATTGGCAGTCACAGACTGTGTGATATCCTTAGTCCAACCTCATGAACTTAAGGGGTTTGCACTTGTTTTTCTTCATGTGCATTAATAAAATCCAGTTGGTCCATTGCTGAAAAGTATTTACTTTTTCTTACTTCTGGTTTTGCTTGGAAAAGGTGGAGAGTCCTTTAAAAGTTGACACAGATGCATATGAGTTTTGTAATTGTATGCTTGATGCATGTGTATATTTATGCATGTATATTTGCATTATAGTGCAAATGAATTTTTTTGGGAAGAAATTAAGAAAAAAATTCCTAATCTCAAGATTCTCAACATAAGAGAGTCATTAGAGAACTTTTCTTTTGATAGGTAAGAGTCATTAGAGAACTTTGCCTTAGCTAATTAGTATAAAAATAATTAACTTTATTTTTAATGATGCTGCGGGCTTACTTTTTATGTATCAAAAAACAAAAAAGAATGATGCAATGGGCTTACCTGCTATGGATTGTAAATTTTCTTTTGCTGGTTGGGGTCTGGCTAACCTTTGCTCAGCTTTCCCTAAAAATATATACTTCATGATATGTGGATATTTTTGATCTAGTTCATACAGTAGCTAAATCTGTGTTTCAACTCCACTAATTCCATTCTTGTAGGTTTCCGTGACCATTCAGTATACAAAGGTCACCAAGTTTTCTTGTACAAGAGAGCACAGATATTTGCATCCGATCTATGGAGTGCTTTCAAGGGTCAAAGTTATGGTGAATTTAATGACATAGGTGCAATTACTATATTTGCTGATTATATTGTTCCAGCTGTTCTTAGGTATCTTGGTGTGTTGAGATATAGTTCGGCTCTGGCTAGCATTATTGATGCCAACAGGGAAATAGTTTCTGGTAGTGAAGAGGAAGTTGAACTGCGAGCTTGTACCGTATATGCTGTAGAGAAAATGAGGGAGTTGATAAAGATAAAATATGGGAAGCAGGTATTTCTATCTTTTTCCTTTTCTTTAGCATTTTGCAATTTTGTCACCTTCCTTTGCCTAAACTTGTATTGAAGCTGAACCATATCAAGGAATGCTTATTTAGGTGTATTAGACATACAAACAAATGTAGGAAGCAGAAGTGCACACAAAACTACATACACTCGAATACGCACATTTGTATATGCTGTGCTTTCTGTAAAGATCTAATTGGTTAGGTAGCTTGTGCTATTTGCTTCCACGTTTTGGATGTTTAGAATGTATGTATGTATTTATGTATGGACAAGCATATGTATAAGGATTATAATCATTATAATACGAAATATTTACTAGGTCTTGAAGATTTAATTTTGCTAGGTTACTGGGATTTGTTCTTTCAAGATATTATAGTTTCGAGAATGTGCCTGATGCAGTAGGGCTGGAACAAACTAACACAAGACAGAAAGAGAGAGTAGAAAGGGTAGAGAAAGAGAAAAGAGAGAGAAATCCCAAGGAATCACTTCAAGGGGTCCTAGAATCACTCTAGGGTTTGTAGGAATCACTCCATACAGCAAGAGAACTCTTAAGAAATCTTCATTCATTCATTAGCTTCAAAAGGAAGAGAATACATCTATTAATAGAGTGACTTGTGTGGCCCGGAACACTGTTCACCATAATTACAAAAAGTGCCACTCTTTGTCTTGTGCATCAAGAAACACAATAACTTTCTATCTACTAATGCAAATAAATTTAAAATTGAAAGACAAGCACTACTAAGCTAGAGGAACAAGATGCTATAGCCCAAGTCCATATTGGGCTGGTCAAAATGACGAAAATACCCCTGACCAGATCAGTCCAAGTCCCAAGAGTCTTCTCCATGCCAAATCAGAACCTGTTTGTTGGCCTTCTTCTTACGAGAATAGGTCTTATAATGCATGGACCAATCCCCATCATCTCTCATCGGCTTGAAAGAACTTGACCCTGGCGAGTTGAAGGCATGATATTGCTCAAAAAGTTCTGGATTAAGATGATACAAATCTTTAACTGTAATCCATGAACATTCTGAAAGAGGTAGATTTTTTCATTTTACAAGAAATTTGATAACCCTCACTTGTTGTAGAAATCAACTTCTCATCAAGCAAGTCTTCAGGCACATTAGTAGGTGGAACCAAAGGAAGCTTAAGCAACGGGACCATGGGACAATCACTATAGCCATGATATGCACTTAGGTCTTCAACATTGAAGATTGGGCTAATTCCCATTTCGCTTGGTAGCTCTAGGTCATAAGCATTAGAACTGATTTTCTTAGTGATCTTATACGGACTTGCACTCTTGGAGTGAAGCTTCTTATAAAAGCTCTTAGGAAAGTGTTCAGGACGTATACACACCATAACCATATCACCCTCCTGAAAATCAGCTAGGCACCTATGTAAATCAGCTAGGCACCTATGTAAATCAGCTTTGGCTTTGTATGCATCATTGCTAAGAGCAATCTTGCGCCTAACTTCATCATGGATTTCTCTCATGTGGCGAGCAAAGCCTCCAACCTCTATGCTAGTCTTGGCTTCTTGTGGCAAAGGAACTAAATCAATAGGCTTCTTAGGCTGAATTCCAGTAACTATCTCAAAGGGATTTATTTCAGTTGACCTGTTAACTGAATTGTTGTAAGCAAATTCAGGCATAGGTAGGATGAGATCCCACCTAGAAGTATGGCCACCAACTAAGCAACGTAGCAAATCACTGAGGCTCCTAAGCCGAATTGAAACCAATCTGTTAACCGTCGGTTCGATTCGTTGGTTTTTCGGTTTTTCAATTTTTATAATATATATAATAAAAAAAATATAAATATATAATAAAAAATTAAAAAAATATATAAAATATTATATTTTAATTAATAAATAATATATTATATATTATATTATAAATATATATATATTTATATATAATGCATATTTACTAATTTATCTTATATATATAAAATATAAAAAGTATATATAAAATATATGTAATGTACATAAATATATATAAAATATATAGATATATGTATACTGGTCGGTTCGGTTAACCACCGGTTTTCTATATTGGTTAACAGAAACTGAACCGGTACCTTTGGTTTTTAAAAACATCAAACTGAAACCAAACCGATCAGTTCAGTTAACCGATTTTGTTCACCCCTAATGGAAAGAAGATGAGAACTTAAGCTTTGTATTGAGGAGTTTCCAAAGTGTCTTCCAAAAGTAACTCATAAACTTAGCATCATGATCAGAAACAATAGTAATAGGAACACCATGTAAACGAACAATTTCCCTAAAGAATAGGCATGCCACATGTGAGGCATTTGATGTCTTATTGCAAGGAATAAAGTGGACCACTTTTGAGAACCTATCTATCACAACATAGATTGAATCATGACCCCTTATTGTCTTGGGCAGACTTAGGATAAAATCCATAGAGAGATCTTGCCAAGGCTCATGTGGAATTGGTAAAGGGGTGTACAACCCTGTATTTTTCTTTCTCCCTTTTGCCAATTGACAAATTCTGCACTGTTTGATCACATGATCAACTTCAACCTTAAGGCGGCTAGGCCAATAAAAGCGACCTACCATAACAATGGTCTTGTCCTGACCAAAATGCCCAACAATTCCACCTGCATGTAACTCCCATATAACATAATCATGTAGTGAGGTTTTAGGAACACACAAGCAACCATCCTGGATGGAAAAGCTAGGATATTCAGATTGCTGTCCAGCTTGTAAAGAACCATAAATGATGCTGAAATTCTTGCAACCATCATAATCTTGCTTCAAATGATCGAACCCCACAACCTGTACAAACATAGAATGGAGTATATACACCACTCAGCTCAATGCATCAACTACAAAGTTATATTCTGCTAAAAATTCAGCCCATTTCTAATGCCGACTACTAAGATGCTTCTGAGATTTGAGATATTTGAGTGCCTCATGATCTGAGTCAAGGTTTAAAATGTCGATGTCGATGGAAATGTCGCTTACCAAAATATATGACATATGTCGGAAATGTCGAGGGAAATATTGTAAAAACTAGAGACATTGTGGAAATATTATGAAATATGTGGAAATATGCAACGATATTTTGTATGATAAAAGAAGCATTAATACATATTTTTAGACTATTATCTTATTCCCAACCATTATATAAAGCTAAGAAACTAAGATCAATAACRAATTARTAAATGDCRRTTTAYTGWTKTATTATGCATTTTGATGTTTTTACAAGGTTATCCGATATTTTCTTTTCTTATTTTTAATTTTGATTTATTATAAATTCTAATATATTTATTTCACACTAGTAAATAGAAATACATTTATTCTGATTTTTTAAATATTAAAGTTATAATACATTATGCTTTATTATAAATTTAATAAACTGAATTTCATTTTTGTAGTATTTAGATTATGATAAATTCTGATTTCTTATAAAACTTAATGAATTTATTATGGTTTTTAATACTAAATTTATAATAAATAATGATTTAATATAAAATTTAATAAATTTATTCTGATTTTTTTATATTAAATTTAGAATATGATTTATTATAAAATTTAATAAACATTTTCTGATTTTAATAGATATTTAAAAATTAGTAACTAGTTAATATTTTATTACTTGAAAAATATTTTATGTTTTTATATTATAAAGTAATTAATTTATACTTTTTGTTTTTATTTTTTGTTAATTTTTTTTATAAATATTTTATTTAAAATATTAAATAGAAATTATTAATGGAATAAATTATATATACTGTATTATATTAATATAATATTACTAATATATTATATTATTAATGTACATTAGTCGACATCCTATTGACATAATAGGAAAAATTGTCTATTTTTTTGGTTATTTGGACCAATTTGGTTGACATTTTCGAAATATAGGAAATGCCAACCAAAATAATGTAATTTTTATATTACCATCCATTTCCATGTCGGTGACAGTTGAAACCATGATCTGAATACAAAGCAAACTCTTGGGAAATTAAATAATGACACCAATGTCAAAGACATTGCACGACAACATAGAATTCTTTGTCATATGTGGAGTACTTTTGTCTAGCTTCATTAAGTTTTTCATTGTGAAAAACTATAGGATGTCCTTCTTGCATAAGCACACCACCTATTCCAACTTGGGAAACATCACAAAATACCTCAAAGATTTTTGAAAAGTTGGGCAAATGTAACATTGGGGTCTCCGTCATCCTTTGCTTGATAGTCTCAAAGGCTTTAGTTGCAGTCTTAGACCAAACAAATTCCTCCTTTTTCGTAGCTTCTATAATTGGTGCCATAATAGTGCTGCAATTCCTTATGAAATGCATAAAAAGTAGCCAATCCATGAAAGCTTTTCACTTCATGGATGTTAGTGGGAGTGGGCCAATCAAGTATAGCTTTACCTTGTCAGGATCAACCTTGACACTTTCAGAGGATATAACAAATCCTAAAAAGATAACAGTAGGTGTCATAAAAGAGCACTTGTTTAAGTTGATGTAGAGCTTTTCTTGGCGTAAAACTCTCATCACTTGACATAAATGGTCAAGATGATCATCAGGAGTATGACTGCATATAAGAATGTCATCAAAATAAACAACCAAGAAACGACCAATAAAAGGACGAAGTACTTGAGTCATAACTCTTCATAAAAGTGCTAGGAGAATTAGTTAAGCCAAAAGGCATAACCAGTCACTCATAGAGGCCATCCTTTGTCTTAAAAGCGGTTTTCCATTCATCTCCAAGTCGAATCCTAATTTGGTGATATTCACTTCTAAGATCAATCTTAGAGAAAATTGTATCTTCGCTCATCATATCCAGCATGTCATCTAAATGTGGAATAGGGAATTGGTACTTGATTGTAATCTTGTTGATTGCTTTGCTATCAATGCACATCCTTCATGAGCCATCCTTCTTGGGAGTGAGTAGAGCCGATACAACACATGGGTGAAACTCTCTCTAATGAAGCCCTTCTTCAATAGATCATCCACTTCCCTCTTCAACTCAGCATGCTCTATGGGATTCATCTGCTGTGCAAGCAAATTAGGTAGTTGAGACCTGGGAATCAAGTCTATTGCATGTTGGAGATTACGTAGAGGTGGTAATTCATCAGGCAACTCTTCTAGGATCAAATGTGAAAAATTAGCCAGCAAGTCTTCAACCTCTTTTAGCACCTTTGAAATAGGGGCGTGTGTTGGTTTATTCACTTCTTTCACTATTAGGGCATAAACAAGGCCTGGTTCTTTGCTTTCCTCAAATTTCTTCTTGGACAGCAAGAGAGGTTGCTTCTTTTGTTCAACTACTTGTTTATGGGTTGGAGCTGCCTTTTGAGGGGTCTTAGTTCGCTTCTTGATTTTATCAGGTGACAGGTTTCATAACAATTCTCTTTCCATTAAATAGAAAGTAATATGTATTCTCTTTTCCACAATGGTATACATCCCTATCGTAAAGCCATGGTCGGCCTAATAGAATATGTGTAACATTCATAGGAACAACATCACACCAAGAGCTCTTTGTTCTACCTGAAGTGTCATCTTGTTTAACTAAGCAATCTTGTATGGTTGAGGATGAGGTTGTGCAACTAGATTGAGCCTTTCAACAGTTGTTGTAGAAACCATATTCATGCTGCTACCACCATCAATTATAAGCTTGCAAAGCTTGTCTTCACTCTTGACAAAGGTGAGGAAGATTGCTGTGCGAAGCCAATATTCTTTCTTTTCTTCTTTAGAGGATGCTAAAATGCGTCTAACTCCAACAAGATTGTTGTCATCTTCTTCTTCATGTTCAGACCTAGTGTACTCCTCTTCACCAAGGCCTCCTTCATCATCTTCCACTTGCCCTTCATTCTCACACCCTATGTGTAGATTTTTATTAGGGCATTGAAATGCATGGTGGTCCTTCCCACCACACTTGAAACAAGTATTTTCTGTTGTTCCCCTTTTATTAGCATCAATAATGATGTTCTTCCCCTTCTTATCAGCTCCCTGATACTTGGAACCATTAGACCTTATTGGAACCGCATTATGAGATGTATGTCTAGTGACTTTACCCTCATCTAAACTCTTATGTGCTGCTGCCTCCCCAGCTTGAATACCAAACCTCCTAGTATTCACTTGCTTCAGGCTCTTCTCTATTTTAAGAGCTATCTGAAATACATCATATACATCATAAACTCGTGCAGTCATCAAACGTCTGCATGTACTCAGACATAGATAAGCTGCTTTGCCTCAATGTCATCATCTCATCATGAAGAGCATCTTGGAAGTCATTAGCAAGGCTCAAAGTATTGATACGATATGAGTTTCGGTCGTATTGTATCGGTACTTAGAAACGGCCGAAACTTTATTTTTTTTAGTTTTTTTTTTCACATTTTGTTTTTTTGGGAAGCTTTTAGCATGCTTTTTATTATTAAAAAAATTGGGGTTCCGACAGGTGTTTCGAACCGTATCTTTTTCAAAAGATACGATACAATATGCCCCGTATCGGGCGTATCGTATCGATACTTTGAACCATGGTCATTAGGCAAATATTTCTCCTCCAAGTAATGCTTCATATCTTCCCAGCGGGTGATAGGACACTTACCCATATTCTGTAATCTATTCTCTACACTCCACCATACTTTTGCATGTTCTACAAGTTTAAGTTTAGCAAATCTAACCTGTCTCTCATCTGACATATCGAACCAATCAAAGTATTCCTCTGGTTCTTCCAACCAATTGGAGAAAACTTGTGGATTGATATCACCTCTAAAACTAGGAACTTCTATCTTCACTTTACTAGTAATATCATCCCGATAGTCATCTATATAAGTCTTAGAATGCTCCACCAACTCATCATATAAATCATTTAAAGTGCCTTGAATTTGTAGAGTTTGAGACCTTAGCGGCTTGATGGCAGTCCTTAGTGGGTGGTTCACATGTGGACCGGTAGGATTATTGGTGTTAGAACCCTCTGCTTCAGCTCCTCCATGTGGAACACCGGTGCTGTTTTTCTCTTCTTGTTCTTCTATCAACACTTTGACTTGAGCTTCTAGGGTGTCCACTCGATTAATAAGTGCAAGCAACAACACTTCTTTAGATTGTTCACTTAATCTTCCTCTCATGTTTCTACCATGGTAATGAGCCATTTGAAACCTAAATCACTCTAGGGTTTGTAGAAAGGGTAGAGAAAGAGAAATCCCAAGGAATCACTCCTTGGGGTCGTAGAATCACTCTAGGGTTTGTAGGAATCACTCCATACAGCAAGAGTGCTCTTAAGAAATCTTCATTCATTCATTAGCTTCAAAAGGAAGAGAATACATCTATTTATAGAGTGACTTGTGTGACCCGAAACACTGTTCACCATAATTACAAAAAGTGCCACTCTTTGTCTTATGCATCAAGAAACACAATAACTTTCTATCTACTAGTGCAAATAAACTGAAAATTGAAAGACAAGCACCACTAAGCTAGAGGAACAAGATGCTATAGCCCAAGTCCATATTGGGCTGGTCAAAATGACGAAAATACACCTGACCAGATCAGTCCAAGTCCCAAGAGTCTTCTCCATGCCAAATCAGAACCTGTTTGTTGGCCTTCTTCTTATGAGAATAGGTCTTATAATGCATGGACTAATCCCCATCAGTGCCTTAGTTGAAATATTAAGGGAAGTAGATATTTGGCAGCATTGGAAAAATGCACATTTGGCGGTATCTTGAAAGAGATATCATTTGTAACCATTGATACTCCATATACTCTTTTGTGATTAAAAATGGAATTTGAAGTTTTTTTAAATGGGATTTGAGTTGCAGCTTTATTACAGTTTTGGGTTGGTACTGTTGCTAAACTCCATTGGAGGTGATAACATTTTAAATAGCACTACTTGGTGATTACTAGCTTTCCACTGAGTTTGATTATTGTAGGTTTGTCCTCTATTCTATTTCTATCTCACACCTGTACCCATGAACATCCTTGTTTATATACATTTTGAATACATCCTCTGCTGATAATGTGATCTTACACCTCTTCATATCATCATTCCTCATTGTCACACTACACCTTTATATTGTCAAAACCTGTAGAATGGCACCTTTTTTTTGGCATTATATAATTTCATTTTCCATTTTCATCAGTCCATTCTTTTCTTTGTATTTCCATGTGTCTCTCTTTTTCCCTATTCTATTCTTTTTTGTTGTTTTTCTTTACTTGTTCTGAAACATTAGGGTTTAATTATCAGGTACTAAGTGTGGAATTGGATCTTTGGCTATGGTCTTTTGGCATCAAATGTCCATCTCTGCAGCACCACCGAACACTCTCAATATACTACTGAACAGGTCTATGTTGATCCTCTTGCTTTCTTAAAGGAGAAAGAGGACATCCATGGTTTTAAAGCTTGAGGTGTTTTCTTTTGACAAGGTAGTTACTATAAACTGTCTCTTAATTTATGAAGGGCTGATTAACCCTTTGAGATTTTAAGGAACGATAGCTCTTTGCTTATTAAATTAATGTTTAAAAAGTGGGAACAAATGATGTCTGGGTGTTTTATTGTAGCATGACTCTTGTGGTCCTGTCTGCTGGATAAAATATCTAGATAATCATGTTTTCAGATCTAGGATTAGGTTCTAATTGTATTTTTGAAGAAAATTCATCAGAAGTCAGCATCCTTTGGGATATCATTTTTTTTTGAGCTATTTGGGTGATAGTGGTTTGGTTTATTTGTAAGAATTTTGTTCTGATTTTCCACCCATCCTTTGGGTGATGATAACTGTACTCTGTTTTTAATATTATTAATGAAAGTTACTGTTTCTTATAAGAAAATGTGTTAGTATCTTCAACACTACAACATATACAAAGATGAAAACAGCGAAGGGAGACTGCAACAAAACTCTGTACACACTGCGAAAGCATGGGAATCCTGCTGCACATTGGGAACATCTCCTCGTTAATTTAAAATAATGTATGATAGATATTCTCAATGTGCGGCTGGATGCTATGAGCAGAATTTTTGGTTGCAGGTGATCCAGGCTCACATGGTAATTTTGAAAATGTTGCAGTGTGACCAGTCCTTCCCTTTTGTGCTTCACTCTATGTTACATAGCAAGTTTCTCTTTTCATAGCTTTTTCATTAAAAGGATGGTCAAATGGATTTATGTTTATCTTGGTTGTGAGTGTTATAGAGAAAGAGTAAAGATTTTTTGAGGGTGGTTCTAATTTCTTCCTTCAATTCCTTTTTTTATTGATTGATAACAGATGAATGAGGATAAGTGTCAAATGGAAGCCTTTTGGTGAATTTGATATAAACAGCTTACATTTGCAATTTGACTACTGTATAAGGAACCGATTTTTTAAAAGCGGGGGAAGGTTCCCGACAAGAGAAATGCAAGCTTTTGGGGTTTAGACTATTTTCGGGGTGTAGTCCAGCCACAGTGGTCAATTCTCTGACTAATTTTGAGAGAAAAAACGAACTAAAAAAAAGTTACGAAGCTTCGAAATACCTTTAGTGTGAGGTGATGCATTAGCATTGTCAATGTCTTGACTTCAAGGTGAAGATAGGGGTGTTCATAATGTGAGTCAAAGCCGGCCCAACCCAACCTGATTTAATCGGTTTTTCAAAATTGATGGTCGTTTTTTGTAAGTAAATAAACCGGTATATCGGGTTGGTTTCAATTTTCACACAATCAAGTCGAACCCAACCGAACATGTAAAGTCTGTTTCCACCTTTTTCATCTTTGACTATTGCTCCATTTAGTCCTTAGTAATAGTCAAATGGGGAATTATTTTTGTCTTGGGTCTTGGGATTGCTATTTCTTTTGTTCTAATATATTTTCATCCCTATTTTTTACTTAGTTCTTTTGAGTTGGAAAGTTTACATAGAAAAGAAAACATTGGATATGGGAAAAGCTGATTTTTGTGTCATAGTTTGATTTAGTTTCAAAGTTTAATTGAAATAAGATCCACACTTGAAATCTCTTGGGTATATTCCCCAAACCGACCCTTTATGCTTGGGTTGATTTTATTTTAGTGTTGGTTGGTTTTGGTTTGCTGAATAAGCATCGGGTCAGTTGAACAAAATCCCTGAAACCGACCCAACCCCATGAACACCCCTAGGTGAAGGTGTGGTGCTTAAGCCTCATGAAACCTCATTCATTTAAGAAAAACCATCAACAAAAAGCATGGTTTTTAGAACTGACCCGGTGGCCGAACCAGTTAGGGGTCCGGTTACCAGGTCGAACGGTCCACCATTTGAACCGAATGCTCGGCCCATTCTAACAGAAAAATAAAAAAAAAGGTCAACTGTTTGAACGGTTTGAACGGTTAACCGCCTAGTTCAGTGGTTTGCCGACCAAAATCAACGGTTTTGGGGGAAATCCGGTTTTTGGGAAAAATGGAACTGGTCAGGTGACCGGTTCCTGGTTTTTTTGGTCCCACCGTCTGGTCCGGTCCAATTTTGAAAACCATGACAAAAAGAGACTATAGAAGAACGTGTATATAAACTAAATGGTCACGTAAATAAGGGGCATAAAGTACTAACAAAACTCACAAACGAAAACTAAATGCATTCTTACAAATTTGTCAAGATAATTAGAAAGCTCTATTGTAAAATAAAACCTCAAAAGTGTTGCATTACCAGAAAAAGACCACAACCAGTGTTGAAAACCTTAAAGATTATGATAATTACCAATGTTTTCAAAATGGACCGGACCAATTTTTGGCCAAAACCGTTGATTTGGTCAGTGAATTGCTGACCCGGGCGGTTGAACCATTGAATGTTCAACCTGGGAATGGCTTTTGCCTGTTTTTTGTGTTTTTACTTTTTTTTTTTATTTATTTTTTTTGTCTGAGCAGGCCATCTATTTGGACTGGACAGTTGGACTGTTCGACCCAGGAACCAGACCCAGAATGGTTCCCTGTCCGGTCCGGTTTTAAAAACCTTGATAATTACGAAAAAAATTGAACTCACAATAAAAAATCTATTATAGATGCTTATAAAAAAACCATTTATATTGGGGGGGGGGGGACCCTAAGGGGATCGAATGTTATACGTGAGCAAAAAAACTGGGGAATTAGCGGGGGAGTAGCCTAAACTTTTAAGGGATGCTTGACCCACTCTTTTCCATGTACATCTCATCCATTCTTTTATCACAAAATAATAAAATCTTTGATGAATTACCAATAAAAAACGATCTTTCAATTACTCTTGTGCTGCAAACTCTACTTCTATGTGTGAAATGCATATTTTGACCAATGGCATCTCAAAATTTGAGGTACTTTCCTTGTACTTTTTAGGCATGAGCCTCAAGGTTGAGCCTGAGGAAATTTTCCTTGAGGTTCCAGTTGGAAAACATATGATTTATTGGACAATGTTCCATTTTGATGAACCTGACTTGGACTGGCAAAGGAATGGAGTAGGGCTGCACAATCTGTACAATATTTGATGACCATACCGGGATTAATTTCTATTTTAAAAAGTGAACAAGAGAATAATTAACAAATAAGGTTCAGTCTTCTTCAGCTTCATGCCATGCATTCGGTAAGAAATTGGGAAATGGGTCTACTTGCTTCAAGATTTAAGTTCAAAGTTTCTATCTTTAATTCCACATTTGTCTGAAGAACTATTACATCAAGTAAGCAACCAAAGGTCTGTGCTTCTTCTAGGCTTCATGAGCCCTTTGATAATAACTATGTTTTGCCAGCAGGGTTCGTTGTAGTGGGTAAGTTGCCATCGTAAGTGCATTTTAGAACATCAGGTTTCCTGAGTAGACGGGGCCCAACTGGTACTTTGTTGGTCTTGGGGCGAACATCCTGCAGGGGCATGAGCAGTTAATATCAAAGAAAGAAATAACATTTCCTTACTAAATCTTAATGAAGATAAACTGTTGGCATAATACAATAACAAGAAAACATACATCTTTGAGAAGTTTTATTGCCTGTTTGTCATATGTGCTCCCCCCCCC